GTGTTAAATAACACTCTTCTGTCAGTCGAATAAACCCCAAATTTTAGAGGCTTCTTTTGTGTTTTTCTGTATCTGGATCAGCTGCTGGCATCAGGTGGGACCCTTGGGTCAAACCTTGACTTCTGATTGGCTAAATAAGTAGATCAGCTTATTCAGAAGACAACTAATAGAGGACATCTTTGCCTCGGGAGTCCCCTGGCACAGAGAGCCTGAGACAATTGAGCTGGAAATGGATTGGACTGAATAAGAATATGACAGAGAGATGGGAGAGTGAATGTTCTGGATAAATGATGGATTGATCTGTATTTGGCATATCAGTGAAATATTGAAAAGCACTGTCAACATTTGCTGGAGATTTTTTTTACTGTATCATCTTTGATGTTGCAGTCAAACTGCAAAAGTACAGATGATCAACAGACTGTAGCAAAACTTAAACTGAAAGCATCTGATCTTAACCCACTTGGTGGGTAGTGTTTAGTGTACAGGTGTCAGCTCTATCAGGTACATCGTCTACTTATATTTGAATGGCCTCAGCTCACTAAAGGCGACAAGGGAGGGAGAGGAAGAGAGGAGCGAGGTAGAAACTAGGGCACTGTTATCTGGCCCCTTTTTACCAACCACCAGGCAGAAAGCAGAGAATGAGAAAGAAAGAGCCTTGGAGAGAAGGAGAGGACACCAGCAGTGAAGTGAAGCTTTAGTCTGGATGTGGGAACCTCCAGAGTCAACATCTGACACCAAGGACCTGAAGAAAAACAGCACAAAGACAACCTTGACTGACTCGCACACTCGCAGGGACGTGCAAACCTGCGTCATTGGCTCGGAAAAGACCACAAACATGTTCGAGGAGCAGGCGACCAAGGTCAAAATCACATCCGTGGTGATCGTCGTCGGCATGTCAGCAATGCTGGCGGCGGTGGTGACTGACCACTGGGCTGTGCTCAGCCCCCGGGTGGAGAAGCTCAACGCCACCTGCGAGGCGGCCCACTTTGGCCTCTGGAGGCTCTGCAAGAAGAGCATCTTCATCGTGGAAGAGGACCCTCAGGGCAAAGGCTGCGGGCCAATCAGCTTACCTGGAGGTAAGTTGAGGTCAAGGTGATCTTCATGTCTTATTTATCTTTAATTTAATCTGATTTGTGGATTTGTTGTGTGGTAGCTGATGGAAAGCTTTCCTGGCTTGAGTTTTCAGGAGTTATAGTGAGAAGATGAAAACTTTGTGACATGTGGATTGGAATTGGTGAATAATAATTAGAGCTTTATAAAACCATATAATTGAATAGATAAAATACCAAGAAAAAAATTCATTCCTCCTAAAACTATTTTTAGGAGGAACTGGAAACAAACCCATTCTCTAAACGTGTGAGGCTCAAGTGTCAGTGTGAGCCTGCAGCAGTGCTGGTCAGCTTTTTTTTTCCCATCTGTGCAGCTGTCCCTTTCTCTATTTTCTCCTTTCACACGCATACAATGCCACATGCCAGCACATATGTTGGCACGTGCTGGCATGTGTGCATGCATTCACACAAACTCACACACACACACACACACACACGGACATGTGCTTGGACTGAATGTTTAACAGCTCTATGACCAGCTTCCCAGCGAACCATTATTATCTTCCTCAGAGGAAGTCACTGAACAGACTGCCCATTAAGCACATTCCAACGGCTGAAGTCAAGTTCGCAACGGAAGTGCGAATGGAGTTTTTATTTTATTTTTTTGCCGTACTTCACAGTTAACACGACTTTGTTGATTTTGTTCCGTTCGGGCTCTTCAACCTTCAGAGTACAAAGAGAAATAAAAGTCAGTTTACCTCACAGCCTTTACCTCTAATTTCCCTGCTGTTTCTCAGAAAACAGCATAGTCTTACATCATTTGTCAAAATACAGTCTGACTCTTTCTATATTAAAATGAAAGCTCGGATGCTTTTTAACTGATACCTCTTTTGTCTTGTCTGACTCATAGTGTCAAAACAGATTTGCAACTGGCTTTGATCAAAATAGACATATAACTGTCTAGAGAGCCATTTTTAAGGATTTTTTTCTGATGCCGCTGATAAACAGCGTTTTGAAGGATGCTTAAATTTACTCAGCTGTGGAAAGAACTCCATTAATTGCAAGCTGTTAAAAAAAAGAAAGCAAAAGTACAAGAGAGCCAAAGATGGTGCAAAATCTGTCAAAAAGTCAGGTAATTTTCAGTCATTTTAGAAGTCCTTTTGGATACTTGCGTAACATTTCATACTGTAACTCTGAAAATAAGTCAAAAACACAAGTCAAGCTTTTATTTAAGACTCTTTTTCCACCAAAAAAAATAAGTCTTTAATTAGAAACTCTCTCTGAACAGAGCCAGCCCTGGGGGTAAAGAGTGTCTCTCCCTGGCCTCTGGCTGTGTGTGCGTGCCTTGCAGCTTAACTGAAAGATTTCGCTCTGACTCTGTCATTGACTTTGCCTCCGGCTTCAGCACCTCAGGATCAGCGCAGGCCTTAATGAAGTGTGGCTTCCCGCTCCAGCTCATGAGTTAGAGTACACCTGGGAGACTCAGGAGGAATGAAGAAGACTTGGGGGGAAAGAAACAGACGATTGCTTGGGCGTGTAAAGGCAGGAATGCCCATGTGGAGAGAGCGAGACTGGGTGCTCTTTTAGAGAGTCTGAAGATGGAGGAGAGAGAGGAAAGATAATGCTGCACCTTATTTTACTGCATGTATATCATGCAAATTGAGGTGGAGGCAAAAGGCAGGTGGAAAAGAAGTGTGACAGCTACCTGTCATAAAAATCTGAACACCTTGCAAAAATAGTCACAGATACATTTTTGTTTATTAAGACCTTTGCTGGGGATTTGTTTTCCTCGTGGACAAGTCAGTCACCTGTGGAATGCATGAAGGGCAGCATGTAGTATGACAAATGATCCAGTCACAACCATCACAGCCTGACAGAAGCACTAAAACAGTGTCGGAATATTTGTGCGAAATCTCAAGTGCTTCTCTGGCACCACACCAAGAGTTCAGCTTAGCCTTAAGTTTGTTTCCATTTCTCCGGGTCTGCAGTGAGAAACAAAAAAAATATACCAGCTGTTTTGTCAGACACCCCTTGGCTACATTCCCACAACCACCATGATGCTTTCACATCTGGGTAATGAGAGAAAATGAGTCACTCTTATATCAACTGAAAAGATTAAGAGATTTTGGTGTGTGGTTGCCCTAGCATTTTACTCCCACGGCAGGCTGAATAGTTTTGGTTACACAAGCCCATCTCTTCTCATTTGTGACCCTGTTGCTCTCTGTAGGCATGGCGGTGCTTCTCTAGTTCTAGCTTCCTTTTATGCACTGTAATCCAAAGATGTCGCAGGGCAAGACGCTGATTGGTCAGCCTATTTTGTGCTTTGTGTCACTGAACATCCTTACCAGGCTGACTGACCCGCTCCAGTGCCCAGGAAAAGGTGTCAAAACGCATCCTCTGAGATGCGTTTCTCCACTTCCATCCACCAGATCAGTCTGCCAGGTCTGTGCAGTTTGACATGAGGCGAGAGAGGACTGCGGAAGAAACAGCCGTTCTCTGCCTTCAGAGGTCTTCTTGTTTCTTGATGGAGTGCTATGAGGCTGAGCGGTGAGGGTTTAGGTAGAGCGCACATTGTATGTGCCTAAAATACTCGAGTGTCTTTTTTTTTTTTTTACATAAGGGGGCTTTTGTTTGAATTTAAAAAGCCAGGCAACAAAACCGTGCAACTAGGTCTGCCTTGAAAAGTAAATTTGACTATTCTAATTGATTGCAGACAACAGCTAAAATCCAATTAGTGTGGCTGGCCATGCAGTTCTAATTCATTACTTTGATAGTTTAGGATTTATTAGTCCAGGCGACAAATATGACACCAAAATATGTGGAATATGTACAAGCATGCCAGATTCTGAAGGCAAGCAAAAGCAAGCAGAGGGGCTGACTGGCTAACACCTGTGTTACCTTATCTGCTTCTAAATTTAATGTGTCAAGCATAAAAAGAAGAAAAAAAACGGGTTGCTCATGAGTGCACTATAACAGATTACATCCTTGATGAAGAGTATACCCAAGCAAGCAGCAGTTATTGGACTTAATAACACAGATTTGCATTTTCCCCAAACAGAGGGGGAGTCAGTCGTCATGAGGAGCGTACACAAACCCCTTTTTTCATATAGACACAATTACACAGCTTTTGCGAAAGGGGTTGCGTAACAGCGGCAGCAAAGCAGTGAACCCAAATGACTTTTGAAATTAGCTTCCCACAAATGACGCATGACAGCTTGAGTGCTGTAAAAACCAAACAAACCCTTTATGGATCGCATCATGCAGCTCGGCTGGGAAATCAAGAGCGCAAATGGTGCTTTTGTGCGCACGTATGTGTTCCTTCACATATGTGCTCAGAGAAGCGAGGGAGAAGAGTTCATTATCAATGATGTTTTAGTGCTTCCAAGAGGTCAACCATCATGGTGTTTTTTTGGAGCTCCAAAAAACACCTTCAAGTATAAAAGCTTGCCTCTGACACAGTGTCTTTCAAATGCCCTCGATTCATAGACACAGTAGCACCAACATCCCCTTGAGCCACCCTTTTCTCTTTCTTTCCAACCACGCTCTGAGCGCAGAGCCCAAAACTGCGGAGGTGTGTCGCTGGAATTTGGTATTCAGAAAACAACTCACAGCTTCAAAATTTCAGATGAATCATTCCACGATATGTAAATTAGAAATATATAAAAAGAAATTACAGAGCTCAGGGCTGGTGTCGCTTGCAGGATGAGCAGAGGACTAAGAAACTTTACTGTTTTAAATTTCATAATAAAGGTCAGGACACACACAGGAGACATGAGGGTAGTGAGGACTCTCCTGTGCTGTTTTGTCCCAGATACTGGTGCTCAGGTAGAATAGCCATTCAAATACCACCATGATACATCCCATTCACATTGACCCAGAACTACCCGGTCGCTCTGTTTAGCTAGAAAACCAGAACAGTTTCCTAATTACCTAATATTATGTTTTCTTTGACAATCCTGCAGCAAATTCTGTACAATCTTCTAGGTTATTATGTTTAAAAACATCGAAGCAATTCTGTTTAACCGTAGTGCAAAAACCACAGGAATGCTTAACTGGGGGAAGACTGAAAGGAAGAGCTAAGGTGGAAGAAAGAAACGGGCATAGTGACAGGTAGAGCGAGGAGGATGAAGAGTAAGGAATGGGTAAATTGGAAGCTGAACATCAAAGATAGAAGGTGGCAGCAGCAGAGTTTAATGGAAAGAGGTGAAACTAAAATGACAGGCGATAGCTTGTCCTAATCACTCTCCCCTGGAACTAAATCTCCACATTACCCTGACTGCAAGGTCGATGATACGCACCCAGATGTTCTCTTCTTCTGTGAATGCTCACTGTTTAGATTAACCATCGTGCTTGATTTGTTTTTGTTTTTTTTAACTATTTGTGGACAGCGCGCTTTTGCTAAAATTCAAAATGTTAATGTTTGTGCTGGATTGCAATCATACTAACAACAGGGTAACCGTAACTTGGCAACAGAAGTTACAATTTTTTGGCACGCACAAAAGCAGCAGTGCGGTTAAATTGTTTTGATGAATCACGTATGCATATCTCCACGATGCCGGCGGCTTTTGACACCTCGGATAGAAAATGTGTTGAGCTGCCCGCCCTGTCTTCTGTCTGTTTTAAGCAATGAGGAAAAGAGAGATTTATTCTCTGGACTTTTCATCTTCTAACACTTTGAGTTTTTCTAGTTATGTGGTATGATCTTCTTTTTTTTTCGTTCAATGAATCAGCAAATCACATAATGTAACAAAAATGATTATGTGGAGACTGGCATGCTACTTTTGCAACAACAACAAAAAATCTGAGGCTCTGATTTAACTTTAAGCTACAAACAAGTTCTGTTAAAGCTTTTACAATATTAAAAATGCAGTTGAAAGATCATAATGTGAAATATCTGTTAGGTACTAGGTATACAAGTCATAATGATGACTTAGTTTGTTAACCATCAACCTGTATTTTCCAGATTTATTGCACATACATCTGTGTATTATTTTTAAAATACATAAATCCCACTTATAGTTGTGTGC